CCCCCCCCCCCCTCTCCCCCTTTAGCTCAAGGTCTGGATCCGCCAATGGTAATCTCTACTCAGAGGTTATAACTACCTAGTGAAATGAAGCTTCAGTGTTAGTAGGGACAGCTCCTTCGCTGACTATCCAGGTCTATCAACTAGTTTGGTAGATAATAAAAATGTGTAATAAAGCTGTTTGAAAGTATTGATACAGACGCAATATCTAAGTTTACCTGCGATTAATATTCCCTTGCGGTAATTATAAAATTTGTCTATAAGATGTCACAGGCAAAATCATAATGATATAAATAGCGTTTATTTAAGCGAGATTAAAAGTAACAAGCTGTAGCTAACGAAGCTAAAAAGGGTATCATGCAAATAAGATCGCAGTTGTGAACTCAAACTATACGCAAGCTATAAAGTTAGCCTCTTCGATTCTGACTGTTACGAAACGATTAAAAAGCGTGCTAAAGACCCTTGCGGAAATTTGAAGTCTTGTTTTAAAATTTCTCGGCAACATTTCTGATATTTCTCATAAGAATTATATTTCGACTCCCGTGCGCTACTCAATTTCATTGTTTATGAACCAATCAGATGCGAGTAGATATCTTGTTCGTGTGTCCAGAATATACAGAATAGATCATTCGGCCTGGGTTAAATTTAAAGCTCAACATTTAATTCGACATCTGCTGTGTAAATCCGTCGGCATCTTCAGTGAATGTTGGACATCGGTAATTACACTTGCTCAAAATACAGGGTCTTTTTATGGCTGGCCCTCTCGCGCGTGGTTAGCAAGGAAGTGAAATGGAACTTTGTGCTCATCTCGCCATAGCTTCTTCACACGCTTAACCATGAAATTGTCCCTTTAAAACAAGACCAAAAACTAAACTCCGTCACGTTGGCCACTTGATCTACAAACTGACTGGTTTTTACGTATGATATAATATCACAACTATTGAAAACTACTTACAGCTCTTAATAACTCTTTCATGAAAATCAATGATCGTACAGTTACAGATTGCTCAGTGAGCTGACAATCAAATGCAATGCTATAATAGGTTAATAAATTTAACAGTCAAAGCTTGTGATTTATTTGCTAGTGCTTCCATAACATCTCAATTTTCCCAGAGTGTGATAGCCTCTTTGGCCGCCCGAACCATTGTCTCCAAACCTCAGCTGCATGACGGGAAGGTGGGATTTGTTTGTCAACAGACCGCTGTCCTCGCGCCACACACGATCATTCGCATCGCAGTTGCATCCATATGCGATGTTTGCGCACGTGCCAGTTACTCCGCATGCGCACTTGTAAGGATAAGTGGAGTTACTTCCTCCCCAGTACGTCATCTGATCTCCATCACGTGAAACCCACCAGCCAAACATGTTACCGTTCAGCAGGAGCCTTGAGGCATGACATTCGTACTTGATAAACTGCTCGCAGTGGGCGGATATGGTCGTTAGGTTTCCCAGCTGGAGATCATTTGCCCCAATGTAATGGATATCACGCTTGTAACATCCTGCAGGCCAGCATTCTTGCACCAGCGTTCTGTCTTCGCTGTCGTGACTGATGACTGTCACGCCAACGTTGTTCTTGTCTGTCATGTCACAGACAACAGTGAAAGCTATCACGCCACCTTCTCCATCAGGATCGATGACGTAAGATCCACTTGGAGCGTTGGGATCGCACAACTTAATCTCGCTACAGCTTTTATTTTCTGCAAAGAAATGTTGAAATGTCCAGGTTAGCTTTGGTGTTCACCGGCTGGCTCAGAATTCCCGCTTCCTGTGTGGACTTTGAGCAAAATGAATTCTTTGTTTTCGGTTTCTATAACCTACCCCTACCACCTTGTATACCCTTCTCCTCTACTAAGTTCCCTCTCTTTTAAGACTTCGCCCTAACAAGCGCCGTTCTCATCATAAGATTGTGAAAAGGGAAAACAAATAATTTGAGGTTACTACACCCTTTGAGCTGTAACCGCAAAGCTCCCTCCGCTCGAACGTTTCTTTGTTATTGATAGGCTCTCTTACATCTATTTTTAAGCTCCCATGCTTTTTTTTATCTTACAATCACCACCCCACTCCTCTTACAAGATTATGAAAAGAGAAAACAGATAGTTTCAGGTTACTATGATAATAATAATAATAATAATAATAATAATAATAATAATAATAATAATAAAGACATTTGTTAACCTATACGTCCATGTTCACAGTTTGTTCCACAGAATCCTGGCTTACAGTGACAGCGATACGAATTCACTTCATATTCAGAAACGCAGTCGGCACCGTTCTTGCAAGGATCACTTTCACAAGGAGACTGAAAATATTAAACAAAGAGTACATTAGTCATGATACAACTTTTCAGGACCTGTATTAATAAGAAAGCAGACAAATTGTAGGCCTGGGACAAAAATCGTAGCCATGGGCTGTTATGATGGAAGTAAACATTAGGGTAAAACGTTTTAGTCTAACTGAAGAGAGTATAAAATAAATACGTTTGTCACTTACCCATGGGCTGTAATGATGGAAGGTAGCATTGGAGTGAAACTTTTTAGTTTCTCTGTACTTGTCAGTGGCCAACAACTCACACAGATAAAGACCTTTCGAGTCAGGATACGCCGCCATGTTGAACGAATAACACTTTGGTTCAGCAACACAAAGGAAGGTGCAACCAAACTGATCTTCCACCATGGACGATGTTATTTTCTCTGCCCATAGGTAATGGAAGGGATTAGGCTTAAAATCGCCAACGGAAAAGTCGCCTGCTGGATTTCGATAAAGGGCACTGTTTTCCATAGTGTACATCATCATTAACTGGGAGGACAGAAACAACAGTAATGGCAAGAGTATCATGGTGCGGCCTCCAACGAGAGCAATGTGTCGATTGAAAATAGCTCTACTTTAAATTCGCTATGTTTCAGTTATGTTGATTGATTGAATGATTGATTGATTGGTTTTTCTTAACGCAGTCATGTATTACGTAGTACTCCATTCAAGCCAATTAATTCCTGTAAATTTAATACCTTAATTTGTTTTGTAATATTGCGAATGTTATACTGAATTAAAATGCACATCCTTCCTAGATTTTCACAATCGCATCTTTGTATAGTCTGAATTTTACGACGTCTTATGAACGTGCCGGCTTCATAAGAACCTGTAAATTGCGCGCCTTTTATGTTTCGATATAAGTTAGGCAATGAATAAATCGTTTGGTGAAACTTATATTTTCACCCCTGCAAAAATAATAAAGGACAAAAGTAGAAGTTTTAAGAAAAAACAAAAAAAAAAAAACTGAGAACACTTTCATGATTCCCTTTAGGTTTGAATACGTTTGCTTTTTTCTTATTCGTGGAATATTCAATAGATCTCTTTTCCTTGGCTAAATGAGTTTATTACCAGAAAAAGCATTTCAAAATTCACGAATTATTTCCACTCAATTTAATTAGCTAAATTATTCCTGGTGAAGCGTTATCATGTTTAAGCTTAATAATTTAGAACCGAACTCTTCGCTAATAGAGGAGGTATCAATTCCATGTGGGCTAACTGAACTACAGCAAGCTGGGAAGCGATAAAAAGGATAAAACATTTTGATGGCTGCATAAAATGGCTGAATATAGCAGAAGAATTCAAGCGGAAGCTCTCTTTTTTACCTAAGTGAGTTTGTTACTAGGAAAAGCATTTGAAAATTCATGAATTATTTCTGACTCAATTAGCTGAATTATTTCTGGTGAAGTGTTATCACATTAAAGCTTAATAATTTAGAACTGAACTCCTCACTACTAGAAGGTATCGAAAATATCAATTCCATTAAGGCTAACTGAACTACAGCAAGCTGGGAAACGATAAAAATAAAAAAACATTTTGATGGCTGCATATAAGTGAGTTTATTACTGGGAAAACCTTTTTAAAATTACTGAATTATTTCCACTCGATTAGTTGAATATTTCTGCTGAAAGCGTTATCATGTTTAAGCTTAATAATTTAGAGCCGAACTCCTCGCTAATAGAAGGTATCAATTCCATGTGGGCTAACTGAACTAGCTACAGCAAGCTGGGACGGGATAAAACATTTTAATGGCTGCATATAGCAGGAGAATTTAAGCAGAAGTACTAGAAATAGTTCAACTGTAAATATTAATCAGATTCCTGACTGCTAGCTGCCGGTTTTACTTGAAATCTTCATTATTATTATTATTATTATTATTATTATTATTATTATTATTATTATTATTATTATTATTCAAGTTTACCGAACTTCAGAGCAACAAATTCTTCAAATGAATTAAGGTCATATTTATGCGTAGAATGGGAATGACGGCTATGTTAGCGCAAATTAGAGAACGAAACTGAACATAGTAAGTTATAAAAATAAGTTGACATGGGCTGGCGGTAGACAGATGTAATAAAACAACAGTTTATAAGCAAATTAATCCAGGGAGGATTAGAACGATGTATTAAACAAAAACTTCAGGGGCACCAAACGGATCAATTCGGTAAATTATCTCCGGTTTTCCTACGCGAATAGTCACCGAACTTTCTTGGCTAGTTGTGCGACTGTTTGTTATCACAACTATTAAACTACTTACAATTCTTTATAATTCGTTCATGTAAATCAATAATCGTACCGTCGCAGAGTGCCTAGTGAGATGGCAATCAAATCCAATGATATAATAAGTTAATAAAGTCAAGTTAATAAAGTCAAGTCAAAGTAATTTATTTGCTAACGTTTCCATAACACCTCATTTTTCCCAAAGTGTGATAACCTTTCTCCCGGCTTGAACCACTGTTGTCTCTAAACCTCAGCTGCATGACGGGAAGGTAAGATTTGTTTGTCAAAAAACCGCTGTCCTCGCGCCACACATAATCATTCGCATCGTCGTTACATTTATATATATGGGTTATTGACCAAGTGTGAGGTCAAGATGGCTAGATATTGGCCAAGTTCTTTTTTTGCGTGTTTATGGACTGAGACGGAGTCGAGGTCCNAGCGGGCAAGATAGCTCCATCTTGCCCGCTCGGGTAGCCAATCACAGCGCAGGATTTGACTCATCTTGCCCGCTCACGGAGCTAGCCATATAATAAGCGACGTTTGCGCACGTGCCAGTTACTCCGCATGCGCACTTGTAAGGATAAGTGGAGTTACTTCTCCCCAGTACGTCATCTGATCCCCATCAGGTAAAACCCACCAGCCATACTTGAAACAGAAGATCGTTGACCCAAAGCATTCGTACTTGTTAAACTGCTCACAGTGGGCGGATATGGTCGTTAGGTTTCCTAGCTGGAGATGATTTGCCCCAGTGTGGTGGATATCGCGCTTGCAACATCCTGCAGGCAACCATTCTTGCACCATAGTTCTGTCTTCGCTGTCGTGACTGATGACCGTCACGCCAATGTTGTTCTTGTCAGTCATGTCCCAGTCAACAGTAAAAGGTGTCACGCCTCCTTTCTATCAGGATTGATGACGTAAGAATCATTTAGAGCGTTGCGATCGCTCAACTAAACCTCACTACAGCTTTCATTCACTACAACAAAATATTGGAATGCTTGAGTTATGACAGGAGCCATAATCGGGGACGGAGACCGTAAGTCTTGGGATCCGCGCGCACCTATGATCAGTCCGGAATATCCCGATAAATTAGGACATCTG